CAAACACCTGCAAGATCTCTATCAAGCATGCTTACAACTACAATACCCACCTGGGGAAGTGAAGAAACAGATTGATAGAGCCAGAAGAGTTCCCAGAAGTCACCTACTACAGGACAGGCCTCACAAAGAAAATAACAGAATGGCACCAGCCGTCACCTTCAGCCCCCAACTAAAACCCCTCCAATGCATTATTAAGGATCTACAACCTATCCTGAAGGATGACCCAACACTCTCACAAATCTTGGGAGACAGGCCAGTCCTTGCCTACAGACAGCCCCCCAATCTGAAGCAAATACTCACCAGCAACTACATACCACACAACAGAACCACGAACCCAGGAACCTATCCTTGCAACAAAGCCCGTTGCCAACTGTGCCCACATATCTATTCAGGGGACACCATCACAGGGCCTAATAACATCAGCCACACTATCAGAGGCTCGTTCACCTGCACATCCACCAATGTGATATATGCCATCATGTGCCAGCAATGCCCCTATGTGCCAGCAATGCCCCTCTTCCATGTACATTGGTCAAACTGGACAATCTCTACGTAAAAGAATAAATGGACACAAATCAGATGTCAAGAATTATAACATTCATAAACCAGTCGGAGAACACTTCAATCTCTCTGGTCACGTGATTACAGACATGAAACTTGCGATATTACAAAAAAAACCCTTCAAATCCAGACTCCAGCGAGAAACTGTTGAATTGGAATTCATTCGCAAATTGGATACAATTAACTTAGGCTTGAATAGAGACTGGGAGTGGCTAAGTCATTATGCAAGGTAACCTATTTCCCCTTGTTTTTTTCTACCCCCCTCTCCCCAGACGTTCTTATTAAACCCTGGATTTGTGCTGGAAATGGCCCAACTTGATTATCATACACATTGTAAGGAGAGTGATCACTTTACATAAGCTATTACCAGCAGGAGAGTGGGGTGGGGGGAGAAAACCTTTTGTAGTAATAAACACTCATTTTTTCGTGACTTGTGTGTATAAAAACAAACATCTTCTGTATTTTCCACAGTATGCATCCGATGAAGTGAGCTGTAGCTCATGAAAGCTTATGCTCAAATAAATTGGTTAGTCTCTAAGGTGCCACAAGTACTCCTTTTCTTTTTGCGAATACAGACTAACACGGCTGTTACTCTGAAACCTGATATTAACCATCTCATTTTCTATAATGGAAAAACTGATAATATGATATTACTATTTTGAACTTGGACATATCCCAGCAATGAGATCTAACAGCTAGCAGGACAAAACAGCAGTAAGAATCCACCAGTACAATTTATAGCTATATTTTGTTTTCCTGTCCTTGATAAGGCTGGGAAGGAGTAGCTTAAATAGTTTTCCCAGTCTTCTTTCAATACTAGTCTCTATCACATTCTATTTTCTTTAATGATAGATTCTTTTGAACAGACACTTCCCTTCAGTAGAAAATAAGTCTCCAGGAGAAACTGGGCATACTTAGTATATATTATGACTAAAGCAAGAACAAGGAAAGATTTTCTAGCTTTTTTTTTTTTTTTTTGAGTAGACTTCAATGGACTATAATTTCATACATGGCTTTCAAAGTCTTTGCTAATTCAGGTTCTCTTGTTGTTCTCTCTATTTTATTTTCAAAATCCTGCTGGATGAAGCATGCTATAGACACACAAACGTCAGGATACATGATCCTGTTAAGTGTCAGATTTATACTTAGATCCAGTTGTTTGTGTGGCAGTTTTTGTGTCTTCAATTCCTTTAGGGACAGATGGGAAAAAATTAAGTTATAAAGCTAAGATTCAAAAATATCTGAGTAATGAAAAAGATATTTTAGAAGTTTTTCAACTTCCTTTATAGTTTCTTATTATGTTTAAAGAAAATCTCTTATGAGTGCTGGCTCTTTCTTTCTTTGTATTCTGTTTCCCTCTGAATTACCAGTGCAAACTTGATGCCACTGCATGGCTGAAACTTCCAAGACTTCTAAAACGTTGTCTGCAGTAAGGGCATGTCTACATGGAAAATTAAGATGAATTAATAAAAGGTCTGAATTTATAGTGAAGTAGTTTAAGTGCATTTCTGAGAGTCCACACAAAGATTTAATGTACTTTAAATTCACACCTTTCATTAATACAGCTTAACTTCGAGTATAGATGAGCCCTAATAGATTTACCTACTTCTAACAATGGATATCAGCAAGAGGTGCAGGTTGCTCCGATGTTGAAACTGTGTAACTGCAAGTGTAGACAGGACCAAACTGTGTTCAGCTGTTTTTTCAGAAACTGTGGCTGAACCACTCTTCAAGATACATAGGAGGGCTGTGTGGGAAAGCTCGCACTGCTGGGCTAAACCTACTCTGAGGAGAAAGAAAGGACTTCAGTTTCTAGCACCTTCAAAATGGCTCTCTTCAAGGAGCAAACAGAAAGAACAAAGGGAACAACTACAATTGTGCTTTAAATACTATAAAACATTTTCAAGGAAGTTCCAAAAATTGTCAAAAAATAAGGTGTGTGTGTGTGTGAAAATAACCTTTCTAATAAAGATGAGTGACAAAAGAGGCAATAAGCAATTGGGAAGTGCTGAAAACATGCAAATCTGGACCTAATTGTTTCACAGGCATTAACACTTGTTTTGAAAACGGGCTCTAAGTGCTTCTCCTTCCTATGTATAAAAAAAGAAATGTTAAAAGACAGAATAATAATGTCAATGACGTTTCCATCGGCAGTCAGAATCAATCGTGTCACTCCATGTTTGCAGTATTTTGCACAAGCATGTTTGTTTTGTTCCCATTCATTTTCTTGGATTCACTGTAATAAAACTCCTAACCTTAATGTACTCATTTAGTGTTGATGTGGATATCACATGTCTACAGAAATGTCACTGTAATGCAGCATTAACAATCAAAACATGTGTCAACATCTGAACTTAATAGGACCAGTTTACATCTTTTGGTATTTGAAGGTTTTAATTTCAGCCCAGTATATTTTATTTACTGGGGCATTTATTTTTCCTCCAATAATTCAATGAAGTACAATATATACTCGAGGAAACAGAATATCAACATTTGTTAATATTTGTTGTTTTCTTCTTGAAAATTAATTTTAAAAGCATACTTTTGTGTACAATTTACATTTTAAATAAATACTTATAGCAGATGTATTATTTGGTTTATGATATTCTGGGAGGCCAAATATGCCAACATATACTGTACTGAGGCAAATGAGAAAACCTCTGGAGTAATCATCTGCATGGAACTAATGCTATATCTGCTTGAAAGAGACACGAACAGATTTCTGTTTTGCTAAGATATCAGTAATTAGCAAAGTCTCCTTTGGTCTTGTTCCATTTAGAATAAAAAAAACCAACAACTTAAGATCTGATTCTGACCCTATTGAAGTCAATGGGATCTTGACTTCAGTGGAAGAAGTAATGGGCCCTTATTCATGTCCCATATTTTGGTCAGACTTAGATATCATTTCAATGGAACTTTTAAAATGAACTGCTAAAGAATTAAATTAGGTGCCTTCCTAGCTATGGTTCAGACCCTGCTCTCTGTTGTGCAGCTAGGGAGGAAAAAGGATGCAGAGTCTCCCCTTACTGTGCCCAGTGCACTGTGTAGCATCAGGATTGGGTAACTATCATGTACTCAAGAAATCATTAAGTAAGGGACATTATGTACTGTGGCCTCTGAAACACTATTCCCCCAAGGGGGAATGGTCTGCTAATTAACGGGTGGGACTAGAAAAGTTATTTACCTTATAGGAACTGGAATTCCTTGAGATATGTGGTCCTTATGTGTATTCCACTGTATACATGCACTCCATGCACTGGAGATGGAAAAATTCTTGCTAGTAGTGTCTTCTGGTCCACACATATGTCCTCTGCCTTCCCGTGCTCCAAACCGACCACCTCTGCAGATCCTTCTCTACCATAGATTGTTCTAGGAAAGGATTGGCAGCAGAGGGCAGGGTAGTGGGGTTCACATAAGGACCACACATCTCAGAGAACTCCAGTTACTTTAAGCAAATAACTTTTCTTTCTTCATCAAGTGATGGTCTCTGTCACAACTCCAGCAGTTGTACCTGTATTCCTCCCCTTTGGCCCCGTAAATGCCACCACTCTAGGCTCCAGGAGCCTCTCTCCCTCCTGACTGAGGTTTTTCCCAAGCGGCACAGTTCCCTGCCCTACCCTGTGATATACCCAGAAAGCCAGAATGCCTAAATTGGCCAGCGTCTGTGCTTTACTTTCTCTTCAAAGTCTATAAACAACCTAACTGCTAGCACCACACAGCTCTTTCGAAGCAAGCACGTTTATTCTTAAGGTGAAAGCATTACAGAGAAAACATATTAAAAACAATAAAAAATTATATGCATGCTAATAAGCTTATCGGAGATCAGCCCCCAACTCCACCAAGGGCTCTTGTTGTAGTCAGTTCTTCCAAACCTCCTCTAAGGACAGCCTCCTCTCCCCGCCCTGGTCCTATCCATTTGTTGGATCAGAAAGAAGGTTCTGAGTCAGTTTAAAGTCAAACTATTTATTCAACAGTCCTCTCTTTGTCTGTTTGTCTCTGGAGAATCTAGTTGGAACTAATATATGTGAGCCTCCCCGAACTTTTTATTTTTTTAATGCTTTTTTATATTTATGCTTCCACAGATTACTATTCTGTGCAGTTCTATGAAGTTACCATTTCTCACAGTAAATTTCTGCTCTCGTTAAGTCACTGCACTGGGACTCAGGAAAGCTGGATTCAATTCCTAGCTCTGCCATAGATTTCCTGTGTGACCCTTAGCAAGTCAAGCAGGGCCAAATTATTAAAGTAGTCAGTGCCCAGCATCTCCTGTTGTGATATTTATGGCCAGATTTTACAAAAAGCTGTGTTGTGCTCTTTTGAAAATCTGGGAGTCTAATTTGGTACCTAAATGGGAGCTGAACTATTTTGAAAACCTGGGGCATGGTTTCTCTGTTCTTCAGTTCCTTGTTTGTAAAATGGAATAAATAATAATTCCTTACCTTAATGGGGAGTTGTGAGGAAAAATTCATTAATGTTAGTCAGGCTCTCATGTACTTATATGTAGGAAGAACCTAGAGACAAATAGATAGTGATTACAAATCAGGGCTGTAAATGTTTCCATTTCTGGAAGACTCTGAGGTTTGGTCTGTGCTGCAAAGTTTTGCCAGCATAGCTATGTCAGCTAAGAGTATGAAAAAAATCTCACACACCCCATAGCCAACAGTTCTGCCAGCAAAATCCCTGGTATTAACACATTGTGTACTGTGGTCCAGCTGGCAGCCCGAAGGCTGGATTCAGACTGCACGACTATTCTGTCTAGCCCTGGAACGCATTTGACCTCCTCTATAAAATGGCATCACACTCACTGTATATGGAAGGTCACACCTCATAGAGGACACCATTTTGTAGAGCATATATTTCTGAATGTGGCCCACAGAAGTGCTCCAACTCTAGCGTCCAGCCCAAACTACTGAAAAGTTTGGGCCACCCCTTTTGCCAGCATATGCTGTGTCTCCATTTTCAGCATAGCTAAACTGGTAAAGGCTCTGTAGTGTAGACAAGCCCTGTGGCTCTGCTCCATTCAAGTTTACATTAACTTCTGACCACAGTGTCTTTCTCCTATTCAGTGCATGGTTTCTCCTGAATTCCTGAGACATCACACTTTATTCCTCCTTCACTGAGCTGTATTTCAAAACACGCTGAATGTTTCCGTTCCTTAGCTGCCCCCATGACTGCCATAATTATCTCATTGTAAACTGTAAGATGCTGAATGGTTCCGGCAAGATGCTGAGCAACCTCAATTCTCATTGGAATTAATGTGATCTGATGGTGCTCAGTATCTAGCAAGGCCAGACCCCAGGACAACACTGTGCTGGCAGGCGGGAGAGAAGGGAGCGGTGTTCTTCTCATTTCATTTTCAAATGACAGGAAACTGTCAGACACCAGCATTTTGTTTGCCTCTTATTTGGACTATTGCTTTACTGAGATTTTATTTTATTTTATTCTTTGTCCCTTATCAAATTCTTTTCCTGCTATTTCAATTAATTTTCTCCAACAGGGAAGCCCCAGAATGGTGGCTAAGTTCCTAGACTTTCTGTTAAAGGGAAGGTGTGCGTCTCTATAAGAAAATACTGGTGCAGAAGACAGAAGCTATGAAAAACATTGAAACCTTACAACGGAAATGGAGGTGGGGGGGGGGGAGGAGAGGGAGAGAAGTCTTGTTCTGTGAAAGACTGATCTTGGTTGATTTTGTTAAAATTGCTGCAAAATCCACTAGTATGCTGTGATAATCAGGGTCCAGGCATCTAAGGGGAGAATAGAAGGTTTAACCCCCCCAAAATAAACAGTTATAGTATGCAAGCAATTGGTTTATCATTTTACTATAACAATGTTGAGTAATATATCTTTTATAAAATATGTTAATGTTCTGAACACCATCGTCATTATGAGATATGTATACACATAATGCTTATGAATGTACATATGCATATAAAAATGTAAATTGCAACTGTGGTGCAACTTTCGCATCACCTCACAATGGGTGGTGATACAATCAAGCATGGAAGATTACCTCCCAAGCCAGTTGTTTACACAAAACCAGCTTCAGGTACCCATCCATTGTCCAGCCCAGGAAAGGACAAAGGTGGACCATTAAAATTAATGGAAAGACATTGAGACAACTGGCGATTTCCCCAGTCTAATAACCAATGAGTCACCTGTCTGAGAAAGAGGAAAAAAAGGGGGTAAAGTCTTTTAGAAAGGAGGCTTGAAACTGAAGTGTTCATCCAGAAACTGAAGGAGAGCCTCTGGGCAGCTGTACACCTGGAAATTGTTCAAAGGTAGTAGATAACTTGCATTAGAAAAGAAATTTTATCTAATGTAGATGTGCAAAGCCTGGTTGCCTCTTAATTTTCTGTATAACTTGTATATGTTTGCGCTCCATTACTCTTTCATCTTTGAGTCTGTGTTTTTTCTATTAAATAAACCTTTTGTTTATTTTAACCCAAGCAGCTCTTTGGTGTGCAAACTGTGTGGAGTGTGTATCCCAAAGTAAGCTGATGTTTGGGGGGATGGTTTCACGCTTTTGGGGGTGACAGATCAGAAGGGAAAAGTCCAAGTGTCTGGTACTTAAGAACTCAGGAAGGGTGGATTTGGGGAGAGGGGACTGGAAGGGCTGTTGGTGTCACGCTGCAAGGAGTAACCAGGCTACTGGAAACCAGGGTGAGGCTTTGTGCTTGAGGGCAGGCTACTGGTATCAGGGATCTGAGCCATAGCAGCACAGCATTAAGGCACCCCCAGGTTGCAGGGTAGGCGATGACAGGACCCCTTACTGGTCTTGCTGCTGATCCCCAAACATCACACATTCAACCCAGTGTGCCTCTGTGAAATCTCACTAAGTAAATGGTTCTCTATAAAGGTGCACAGCTCTGCACTATTGGGTCCTGGCACAGGACCAGGAACCAAAGCAAAAATTAATGCACAGAAAAAGAACAGGTGTCTAATGTCATAGGAAGAAAGTCAGCTTGTAGTTTGGCAACTGACATTAACTTCCCCCTTTTGAATGTGTGGCTATAGAGAGGGGCTAGGTAAGCATTCTAACCCATTCCTTTTTTAATATAGTCCATGGGCCAGATCTGATGTCAGCCACACTAGTGTAAATTCAAAGTTAACAATTGAAATCAACAGGTTTATTCTGGATTTACATTGCTGTACATGAGAGTAAATGGTGGCCCTTTGCCACTAAGGGGTTCTCCTCTGCAAGGAATGGGTTGCTGGAAAGTTAATCATCTTCAAGTATTAGGTTTTACTGAAATAAATTAAACATTGTTATCAAAACATGACTGGACATGGTTATTGTAAGCAGCCAGAAAGATCAGTGTTACAGCTGCATTTAAAAAGTCCAGAACGTTTCCATACCTTCTCCTCCACCCTATAAGAAAACAAACTCAAATAAACAGTCTTGCAACCATACCACAGAGGGAAGCTACCTCTATCATCACTTCTGTCCAAACAGAGCCAGGAGTTGAGCATTGAGCACCTGCCCCCCCCCCTCGGCACATTGGAAAGTTGGCGCCTGTAGCTCCAGCCCTGGAGTCGGTGCCTATACAAGGAGCCGCATATTAACTTCTGAAGAGCCGCACCTGACTCTGGAGCCACAAGTTGGCCACCCTGTACTAGCCACTACTGGATTTGTCCAGAATTTGTAGAATAAATTATATTTTTGAAAGTGGGGTTTGAACAGTGCTTTCCAGTGTTTTATGACTTTATCATATGTACCAGATTGTGCCCAAGGTCAAAGAAGGGAAGGCAGGGGACTGTGGAGTGGGGATGGGGCAAACAGACGACCAGGTCTTGCTTCTCACAAGGCAGGGGGGACTATCCTGGCCTGAGATGCTCCACACTGACAAGAGGCATGACTGGGTGGGACTGTGGCTTGGGTCTCATCCCTTCCATACCTGCCACAGCTCAGCCCCTGACAATGAGTGAGGCACAGACCACACCTTTTCAAATGCTAAAATAGTTACTGCTCCTGAGCATGCTGCTAACGTACATCACTCCTTACATCCTGAAGGCAAAGTGCCTCATGAAACTGCTGCTCAGACAGAGCAACTTCAACTGCAAAAGCCACAATCTAGTCTGATAAGATGGAGGATAATACAATATGGTTCTCTTGAGGTTTCAGAGAGAGTGTCCTTGCTTAGTTTTGCATTGATAATAATCAATGAGAAATGGTAGGTATGTGACAGGAGCACGTTAAGAGAACCACGTGGCTTTTAACAAGCGATAGAAAATGAAAATAATAAAAGCTCACGTATAGTTAACATTACTGGATAATTTTTTTCTCTCTAAAAACGTTTCAAATGAGTTTTTAATTCTCAGCACCAACATGGCTGATATACATCATAATAGAATACTTGCATTTCTTTAAAAAGAAAAGGAGTACTTGTGGCACCTTAGAGACTAACAAATTTACCTTCAGTCCTTTTGGTATGATGTCTATCTGTTTGCATTTGGAAAGAAAGATGATGCCTGTCTGTATCTGTAAGAGTTTTTTCATGAAGTTGATAGATTTTCACTCCATACGGCTAAATTCAGTGCCTTGCATAATGACAGGTTTCAGAGTAGCAGCCATGCTAGTCTGTATTCGCAAAAAGAAAAGGAGTACTTGTGGCACCTTAGAGACTAGTGTCACAAGCATTCCTTTTCTTTTTGCGGATACAGACTAACACGGCTGCTACTCTGAAACCTGTATTTCTTTATAGCTTCTATCTGAGGATTTCAGAACACTTTACAAATGTTAACTGAGCCTCACAATACCCCTTGAAATAAAGATGTATTATCCCAGACACCGAAACTGAGCCACAGAGATGTTGTGATTGACTAAAGTCACACAGAAAGTCTGTGAGAGAGCCAGAAATTACCTTAACACCCAGACCTCTGTTTTTGCCCCAAGGCCAAACTGCTCCAGAAGCGTGGACAAAGTTTACCAAGAAAAGCATTACTAATATTATCCAGCCTTAACCTGATTTCCAGCACACGTACATATGCAGAGGCAACTAGAATAATGTGAACAGATTTAATTACAGCTGCATCCTAGCTAAATTAAATCCAGATAAAGAAAAATAACTGGCTTTAATGATCTTCTTGCTATACATTTGTGCTTATCCAAAATAAACTGATTTTAATTTTTTTTGTCATCTTGTGTGTGTCTGCATGGAATACCACATACCAGCTAGTTTTTCACTTTACTAAACAAAGAGATTCCTCCTTTGCTAAACAGCTCTTCCTCCTGTTTGTTCATACCAAGAGGTCAGAATTGCTTGTGGCCTTATATATAATCTGTTGCTATGGAAATGATTGTGGTGTTACAAAGGGAGGATTATGACCTCTTAGTATGAAAAAAACTTTAGGTTTCCATTTCATTTTCAACGAGCATGGAGCCTTTTTCATTGTAACGTTGAGAGTTACCCTTCCTAAATGGATGCGGGGCTAACTAGACATGTAGCTGATAAGTGTTATCCCTAGTCATTAGTGACTGTGCCAATGCTTCGATTTCCAAAAGATAATGAAT